GAAGAGCTTATCTTTTNCTATGTTTTCTAGTCAAGTTGCCCTGGGCACTATCTGATAACAGCTTAGACTGACGGGTTTGCCCTGGTTAAATATCCGGTTACTATTATTAAGAAAGGTTCGGATTGACGTGAAAGGGGTAAGACCCCACGGGATTCGAATCCATAACCTCCCAGATGTCGCCCGGGCGCTCTAAAAAAGGTACCTATCAGAAGAAAAAGAATGATCAATCCGATGAACGCTGTGTATTCTAACGGAAGTGGAATTCACGACTCCCAGATACGGGAAAACGCTCTAGAGCTACTGAGACTGGTGAGGGCTTGGCGATTTGTTTTGCTTTATAAAATAATTGAGCTACTACGCGCGCTCTCATTGGTCAGATGTGTTCTTATGAGAGTATGTAAACACGGTTATGACGTTTTAGATTCGCGCGTATTTTTGACGAATATTTATAAAACCAAAAGAGTATTTTTTCCGTGTAAACCCTCGACAGCGTCTCGGGCTTGCATAAATGTCTCGAATTATTCCAGCCCCCTAAGTGTAGATGAGGCTATGTAAACACGGAAAAAAGTGTTCTACTGCTTAAATATAAACTAAGTATCACGCTACGAATCAGGTTCCGTCGATATCTGCGAGAAAAAGGTGAGAAGATATGACGGTATTTTATATGTTATTATCGTTTCCTGGTCACTGAGCAAAATTACACAACCTGCTTACTCGAGTTCCTCGATGTTCTTTTCGAGAAAAAATCAGTTTAAAAGCAACAGAACTTCCGACAGTTGCCCGTTTCGTTACGCTCACGCAGTAGGGACGAACACAGTGACTGGAGGAACGAGATTGTGTAACACAAGCTCACTGTAACAAAAACGTGCAACGTGTACATATAACTTGTCACAACAAAAAAGAAACAAGCTATTTACTCAGAAATCGTACTTGTATTTTCAAATCTAATCACACAGACAACTTAAGCTTCTCTTCAAGCGTTCCTCTGTCAAGTGTAGTCTAAGAATTACAAGCATTGGTCAAAATAATTCACTCACTCTCAATATTCTTAGTTTTATGAAAACTAACATGTAGTTTCAGCGTAACAAGTATTTTCCCAAACTGGGATAAAAATCACCTTAAGATAGTTATGACTTTTTATTGAAAGGTTAATTTACTCGGGTGCAGGAGCGTTTCTTTATCTGCCGTGAAAAGCGAAGAAATCATATTTAGTCAATCACAGAAAAGGACAAAACGAAACCAACCAATTGGATGGCGATACGTTCGCGGGAAAATGCGCGTTTGCCTCTGATTGATTAAACAATGCGCATGCTTACTTTAAATGATGTGGAACACGTTGTACGAGCTTTTCTGAATCAATAAAAAGCTTCAACAGATATATTTCTGAAAGAAATAAAATTCGAGTCCTTATGATGGTATTTTAATTTACCAATCTCTATGGTCTTTAATTGAGAGATTACTTGACAAGAAAAACAAGCATGTTAATAAACACTTTATGTCTACAAAAATCCTCTTACAGAAAACTGAAATTAAGCAAGACTGCTTGCTTGTTCAGTCTACTTCACTAAGGATCTGCATGAGAAATTATACATTTATGTACTTCAGATGATACTTCGAGTAAAACTTGAACTCTTATTCCAGTCACACATTAGAGCGGTTTTCAATTGAATGTCGTAAAAACCAAAACCAAAGTAATCACTCTAGCCAATCACAACTGAAGGACACAGATAATCCAGTGAACCAATCAAAACTCGAAGTAATTACCTATAGCTGATGCAAAGCGCGGGAAAACGCGTGCGAACGAGTCATGATTGGTTTTGGTTTTACTCCTGATTGGATGAAAAAGTGCCGCGAGTTTTGTAAGCCAAACGTGTAGCGCAGTAAGTGCAAAACCAATTACTTTTCAACACACAAATGAAGACCGCTCTATTATTGTTCATATCCAATTCATATTACAAAATACTCGTCTATCTACATCTCATCTTATTACTTCATTTTATATAACAAATCCAGTTTCCTTCATAGGAATAATGGTTAGAAGTTTAAAAATGTTATTGAATATTTAATACGGGGAACAAACTGCTTTGCCTCAATGACGATCAAGCACTTTCAACATACACGAAAACACACAAACCAACCAACCAAAACAAAAGTGAGGTCCTGCTGTACACATTCACAAAAGTTCGGTTTCGAAACAGCAAAGATTATAACTGGAATTGCGGTCGTTTCGCCCGAAAACCAATTCGCCCTAAACCCAATTCGCCCGAACTGTTAGCTCCCTAGTCAGTGGATTAAAGAACGAGAAATAATGTAATTTTGTTTCATAACGCCCACAATGTTGTCTTTTTCGCTCGTTTAGATTAAAACAATTCTTCTTTGAACTTTCAGCAAGAACGAACAGACTTTCACTTCGGGCAAATTGAAATCGGGCGAACTGGCCATCGGGCGACACGACCGGTTACCACAACTCTGCATGACTGAGTCTGGGGATAACTGATCACAATAAATTAGTATAATACAGCTTCACACACACGTGGCTACTGCGGATTACAAAAACCAAATTCTAACCAACAAGTCACAACTCTGTAATAAAAAAATCCCAAATCTACTCAATTACAGCATGCAACATGGTGGATTAAGGAGACAATGCATAAAATACCGCAAGGAGAGTTCGGAAGTTGATCTGAGGGTAAACAGGCTGAGAACCCTACCAGAAGCTGCACGTTCTCATCAATTCTGGGTTTGAACTTACTTTCGCATACAAAATTCACGACTTTCCCCACCTTTTTCCAAGCCATGTTTCCTTAATTATTTCCGACTCACTACAATAACTAAAATCACACGTCCAGAGGAAGAATTTTTCAGCTGACATAAACTTCAATAAAAAGCAACACAAACTTGCTACAATTCAGACAAAATTGCATTTCTTTTCCAGATAATAACTTCATTTTTTCACACTCTACCAGGTCTAGAAAACTAGAGAGTTTTCAGACCGTACAAACACTTATTCTCTCGCTTACATTACTATTATCTTGGTTGTCACGCAATGCTGCTCTGATGGTAACAAAAAGCACTGCGTAACTCCATATAACTGATATGACAGAGTGACTTCAAGTTCAAGCTGGTATGCAAATAGGTATAAATTATTAAACTATAATAATTGTCTTCTTGTATAAAATGCGCCGACATTCAAAATGCAAATTATCAAATATTTGCCATGTTCCTCGGAGCAAGTGGAGGTGGGGCTCCGTTGCCATCCTGTGGAGAAAATGGTTTAAGATCACTAACAAAGACAGTCACAACACACAACAAGAAAAAAATGTTCATGAGTGACTGTGTGAACATGTAAACTGCATAAAATTTAACTGAAGTTATAACATTCTGGAAACTTAAAAAACTATAGTTTCTTACAGACTGACAATAGAAAGTTTAAGGAAACCACAACGGCAACGTCGCGAAACAAAAGGTTTAATGAGGAGAACAATGGCTGTGCACGTGCGTTATAATTCTCAATACATTTCTTTGCCGTCCTCTGCAAAACAACAACGTGAAATGATCAAATTCTGCGTTGTTTTGAGAACGTGAACCACGACAGCTAATTTGATGTGTCCTAGATTCAGTTTCGTGATAGCTTTGACAGTGATAAACAAAGTAAATGACTTTAGGGCACCGCGAGATTCGTAGGTAAAATATAAACTCATTTTTTAATCGACGTTGTCCTCGGCATCGCCGTCGTGGTTTCTTAAGCTCCTTAATTTAAACCCTCTATTACTTACTCGAGGTGGAAGTTTAGGAGAAGCTGTCGATTCTTCTGGAAGTCTGAAAAAAGTGATTCACAGTAATCAACGACCAGGAAAGGAAAATACTAGAAAAAACGAATTTTACTAGGTCTTACCTTAAACACAGCAAACACGCAAACAAGAATAAGGACTACGTACAAATTAGGAATTGGAGATAGACAAAGAAACAGTCATCCTTTTATCACCAAAACTGGTATAGGGTTCAAAGTCTCTTGACTACAAAGCACTGTGCTTTGATATTAAATATATTCTTGTGATGATGAATTATACAGACAAACTCTAAAATGCTAATAATTTACCAAAACAGAACACAAGATTGGGAAACACAATTACGAAAATACTAAGTAAGAATGTTTGTTTGGCTAACGTTTGATCTTGAAGAGAGTTTTCGTTGGAATGAAACCATGTTAAACGTGGCCAAGATAAATCGTTTTAGAGACCAACCAAACCAAACTCGTTTCTGGTCGATAGTTACAGCTGTGACAGTTTGCTTAAAGGAGCTCAGTCACAGTATTTTAAGTTATTTTGGCCACATACAAAATTACCTTTAAATTGAAGCAGACCTGAAAATAGTAGTTTACTAAGTTGGAAAAACACCAAAGAGATAATAATAAACCACAAAGGAACAAGGATGGTTGAGGATGGAGAAGATTAACACGGATTACAAATGACAAACTTGAAAAAAATTAGGGTCAACTTTTCAGGTCTTTTCAAGACGCGGAAACCGTGATGTAGCTCCTTTATCGCACAATCAAACGTTATTGGTTTGGTGGCAGGTCAAGTAAGATAAGATGGTATTTCAGTAAGAACTCTGATGACTGACTTTGGAGGAGGTTTGTCCACTCTGTAGGCAGGAAGTGGCGGAGGAGCTACAGTTTCCCCTCCTTTGCGCACATTAGCCAAATTCCCGTACACCGCCAGATTGGGCTAAAAGGAATACAATTCACAGAATATTGTTATTTGATAACAAGATAAAATTCCGTTGTCTTTTGTAGAAGCATAAGAAGCACAAGACTACAGTGTAAACTAAATAAACAAATCAATCAATCAATCGATCGATCGATCGATCGATCGATCAGACCAGTGAGTCGGCAGTTTACGGTAACGGTAACAGTAGCAGTGGCAGTGGCAGTGGCAGTGGCAGTAGCAGTAACAGTAACAGTGAACAAATGAAACAACAAATGGGCAAATGAAATGTTATTGTTAATAAATAAGAAAAGAAGCACATTGCAGATATTCTTACATTGTCATTATTTAATCTTGCAGTCTCTGTGCTGATGTAATGCTGAATGGCACGGTAAATAAATTCATACTGGCCCTGAGAATAAAGAGCAACCACAATTATTAATAATAAATGTCCCAGTTCTGCCTGAATAATTTAATGTTGACTGTAAGACTTAATAAAATACATAAAGGTCACCAGACACATTTGGCGTAAAGATGGGGAACACTGCTCAGAGGTTAGCGTGACAGATGACTTCCACTGCGTGACAATTCTAGGCACTATGAGCTGCAAAGCAGCAACACGCCCTGGCAGATAACAGCTAGAAGCATTACGAACTGAAAACTAGATCAGCCACGTGCTACAGTGGCAGCGAAGCGACTCGGACCTTAAACCAGCAACACGCAAAATACTGAATGCCAACTGATGAAGTGTCCCTTATCTCCCCAGGTCGAAAGACAAAACTGAGAAAGTAAACAAATAAAAATAACACAAGGCTTGGGGAAGTCGCAGAGGAGATGTAACCGAACCCAAGCCTTGACAGGCGGCTCCAGTTTATTGAATGCAAAACAAGTGCAAAGGCCGTTGACAGAGGGAGGAAGGGAGAAAGGGAATTGAAATACAAATTTACTGAGAATAAGAGCAGTAGCTGAGACAGTTTAATCCTTCCTCTATAAAAAGGGTGTGCTTTTTACTAATTCAACTCTTGACATCACCCTGGTCCTTCTAAACAGGTGGGAACAATTCAAGGCCAACATTGTTTTTACAACTGTTAAACTTCCATCCATGTTTTGCTTGAAAAACTACTAGCGTCAACATTTGGGAAACCTACCTCAGTCTGAACCATACCAGACCTCTGCGCTCTGACATTCTGGATGCTCTTAGAAATATCAATTTCACAATCAAGACCTGAGGAGGTTAAACAAAGACGCATTTAGTGTCTAATCAACTAAAAACCACATAAATACCAATTGTTAAAAAGGGGTTCTTAGTTACAGACCAAGGAGTAAACCATGCCTCTACAAATCGCAATATTTACATTTTTGTATATATTATTATTCAAGGAAATTTCTGAGGGTACCTTTTAATCAATTTTAATCAATTTGTAAGAAGAAGGGTAAAATAAAGGATTTTGTTGCTGTTGGTTCCCTGATACATGTATACTGTAGTCTGTTCCTTGGTTTCATATTGTCTACCTTGTTGCCAAGGCGAAAAATATCTATAGCACCTACACACAGAGCTTGGAAAAATGCAACACTCTGTGCTGGGCGAAAGTGTTCCATCTTGCCAAAGCTCATCCTAGTTTCTGTAGCATAAAAAGTGATTAGGGGTTTCTTCTCATAGGCACTCTAAAATCTGGCAACTCTGTGTAGCTTCACAACATGCTCTGTCATTTACCAACTTCTACGGAAAGATCTGCAGCCTTATACCCTGCAAGCAGTGGTTTTCTACTATGCCGGAGCTATGTTACGAACAAGAGAGAAACCGCTGTGAGCAACTGTTCCTTCCGTTGAGTTAGCCACCATCCAGCTCCAGTGACGAATAAACCAACTTTGAACTAGAATAACCAGTTTCAAAACTGATTTAAGCTTGCATGCACGTGCCGACCAACATGAATGCTGCATTTAGGCCAGCCCACTGTGTAATTACATGTAGATCAAAATGGTGAGTGATGTCAATGAAGCCGTGGTTTCTCTCTTGTTTGCAGCACAGCGTCAGCATAGGAGAAACCAACTGCTCGCAGGGTAGCAGCCTTATACTCCTCTCGTGACTCTCACAGTGCTTCTCTCCACCCAGGTGTATAAATGGGTACTGACAAATTTAATGCTGGGGGGTGACCCTGTGAAGCATTAGCATCCCATCCAGGGGGGAGTATAAATACTCCTAGTCACTTCGTGCTACAGAAACTGGAGATAAGTGCTGGCCTGGTGTGCCACTTGGCTCACACGCAGACTCTTACAGCTATGTTAAATATTGTATTGGGTAAAATCTAGGTGAGAAAAAGAGACAGAATTCAAGGTGGGCAACAATCTGGGCCTCTTGCACTTCAGTTTAGTCCCTAACCAATACATTAAATTTTGTATTACATTTGCAATACATTTTGATAATAAACAGTACATTACCTTGCTCTTTGATCATTTTCACCAGATTGTCTATCACAATAAATGTACCAGTTCTTCCTATGCCAGCACTAGAACCAAGAAAAGAATTGACAAAGTGTATATGAACGTTATTATTTTTCCAGTTGAGAGCTCATTAGGATACTCAAAGAAATACTGTCAGGAAGTGTGCATACAGGAAGATTTTGATACATTTTGGCATACTAAAATTTCTCTGTTAATTTATTTGAATACACATAATCAAATCATCCGAGTTCAAATAGACCATATGCATACATGTATTCCCGGTATTGGACTAGAACTAGCTTGTAATGGAGGCTCATGCGGGGGGAATATCATTCAGAAGAGATAAATGCCATTTGCATTTGAAAAAACTCCTCGCATTAGCCTCAGTTGCAAGCTAGTTCCAGTCTAATGCCAAGAACACAAATATGGTCTAATTCTGGGTGTACGAGTTCGAGTACATTTTTTTCACTCTCAGCTAAGTGAGCAGAGCAAACATAATCATAAATACGAAAGATTTTTTGATTGAGGCTGTTGAGCTGTTGAGTAACAGAACGGTTGTTAAACATAAAACATAGTACCAGTAAATATTGTTCTATAGGTCTAAATACAGACTGGAAGATGCTGAAAATAGGATCTCCAAGCATCTGAATTTCAAAATTTTCTTGGGGGGTCACACCTTCAACTCTCAACAAGTACACTACCATGTGCCTCCTTTCAAATTTTGGTGTGTCTACTTGAATACGTATTGACAGCCCTACAGAGGCATAGACATGGACATTCAATAACGTGGTCATAGGCATTGACACAGGCATAGGTTTAGCTAAACTTATAGGTAACTGTATGTTGTTAACTCTACAATACCTGCAGTGCACTATAATTGGACCCGCCATGGGAATTGATTGTTGTCTTGTATTGACTTCATGAAGAATATGTAACACAGGACTTGGGTCCTTAGGAACACCATGATCAGGCCATCCAGTGTAATGAAACTGATAAATTGTGCGGGGTATTGGCTGCCAAAAGAATATATCTACGTTCAAATATCAATGACATGTTCTGTAGAGAACTGAAATAACGACCACTCCACTTGCAATGTGTCACTTATTTAGGGATCTGACTGGTTGAAAAATCAATCTTTTATTTTTCCTCTTCATTGTACTGCATTTTACGATTTCAATCTCAGGACTGGAACTCTCAGCAAACCCTTATGTTAACTGTTAACTTTCTCTACAAAGTGTTTCATAAAACACATGCTGTTTCTTTTTGCAATCATGGTGCAAAAGAAATAACGTCAACAAACAATATTGAAACTGTTGGTTTTCATCTTTTTGCTGTTGACTGGATGGTAATTAATCAGTTTTCTTTCCAACTGCAAATCAAATTTTATCCCTCCTTTAAAAGCAGAAAGAATTTATCATTTATTTTCTTGGCTTCTTGGGTTTTCTTTGTGACTGTTAAGTCTCCTTCACAGCTGTAAAGATCATCAAAGGATGAGTGTAGCATGAACAGTCTTAACTCTTTCAAACAGCAAATAAGGAAAAGAGGCTTGATGATGTTGATGGAAGATGCAGGGTGCAAGAACTGCTACTTGTGCACAAGGTAACTAATGAACATATGTACGTCAAGGAAATTGAGACTGTGTTTTAGGCATTTAGGATAGGCTTTTATCGACTAGAAACTTTGTGTAGTTGTAATATAATCTTTAATTTGTAATTGTGTCTGGAAAGCTGTGGTGGAGGCCCTATGCTACGGTCAGAGCGAAAAGGACTAAGTCAAGTACGTCAATTGTAAATATTTCTTAGTTCTTAATTAGTGTGAGAAATGCTAGAATGATTGACACTCAAATGAAGTTTACTACTACTACTAATACAACACTATACACTGTACGGTGTAAATGATGAACAATGTTGTGATAAAATAAAATGCTCACATTGCTTTCTGATGTCAGTTCAAACTCCCTTAGTGTGTAGTCTGTAAACTCTGTCTCCTTCATATGTTTGACTCGGAATGGACCACACTCTTTGGCAGTTTCTGGGTCAGGCCAGTACTGAGTGCACTTATTCTGTAAAGGTAGGAAGTACTTATTAATCAAAACCAAGCCTGGTATATAATTTCAGTACAAAGTCATGTAGCTTAGTCACTAGTCACAGTCAAACCCCTAATAAGCGGCCACCTACTGAATGGCCACCCTCATTAGGCAGCCAGTAATCAAAGTCCTGATGAGGGCTTTACTGCTGTTTTTAACTCTTTTAAAAGCCACTATCCATTTCCCCAAGGGTGGCCGTTTAATAGGGTTTGAACTGTGGTTTTTGCACCAATTGGGGCAATTGTTCATGAGGTGCTGATTAATTGATGGCATAGGTCCCCAGGACATTTTCACCTCACGGGCTCAGAAATGCTATTTCTGACATTTTCCAGAGAGAAGTTTCATAAATCAAACCATGAAAAAACGGTAAATATTTAGTAACTTATGTTGTTTAGATGTCAACCTTTGGGAATTTTGATAGCAGAGTCTGTCAAACCAGCCAATTCAATTGTTAAAGATACTTTTTGCCGCAAAAAAACTATATTAAATTATATCTTTTTTCTGCATTTTCATGGGGCATGCATGTGCATATGTGCGTATATGGCCACTACACACCTGCTGGCAACAGACTGTATTTGTGGGCAAGATACATGCTAACTCCTAGTCGCTTCATGCTATGGAAACCAAGATAATCCCTGACAATGCAAGCCTGAGAATGATTAAATAAGCTTTTAGAACGTCTCACCCTTCCTCTTTCAACTACTTTTGTTGTCATGACGATGATTCGGCTGTTCTCCTGAAAAGTCATTCTCCAGAAGTCTTCCACAGTGCTTGGCAAGCAGCCTTGAGCAGCAATATACCGCTTTGCTGCTTCTTCTGAGTCACTGGGCTATGGCAAGTAACGTTATGTATGTTAACTAATCATTAGACATTCTTGGAACATAAACATTTTCGAATTTAATTTCTAATCAGCTTTGAATGACATGTACACAGGAAAGAACCTAATGTTATGTAACACTTAAATTCAAGGGAATACTATATCCAAGAATAAAGCAAATGAAGTTTGTTATATCACTGCTCATGATGGAATTGCTCGACAAGTGATACATGGAAATGTGAAAATTTAAAGTGTTAAATATATAATTAAGGATGTTTAAGAATGAGCATGAACATTATATATTCCACTTGTGGTTCACTCTTAGAGTCTCTTACAGTTGAACCCCTATGAAGCAACCACCTATTGAACGACCACCCCTATTAGGCAGCCAGTAATCAAATTCCTGATGAGAGCTTTTCCATTGTTTTTACCTCTGTTAAATGGCTAGTACCCTTTAAGTGGACACTATCCATTTCCCCACAGGTGGCCGTTTAATAGGAGTTGAACTGTAGTATGTAATGAAACTTGATTGGGAAAAATCTCTAAAATTTTGTGTGAGATGCAGACAACCTCTAACATACAAACTTGTAGCTCAATTGCCATACTGAATGAGCATATTGTGTGCAAAAAATCACTAGATCTGACTTGTCATTTTGTAGCTTTTAAAACACCTGTCCACTTGGATTTTTTTTTTTTAACATGGTTTTAGTATGTCAACTTACCCCGACATAGTTTGCATTGATATAGTCTGACCCTATGACATTTGGGTCCATATCTTGTAATGTAACTCGACTGTGATCAACTGTATGGATAAAATAAGACATAGATAACAAAAGTTATAATCAAATCATGTCCCTGTATCTTACTGAATGTTTACTTTCAATATGCAAAATCAAATTAACATGTCTGCTGTTTTTATGTACAGTTCTTGAAAATGACTTTCAAACAAGGTTGGATACATCAATATTGGTTAGAGGAACAAAAGAAATTGTTTCCACCTTGTCTACAAAGTATTACAGTTTTTTGTGATACGATTCACAAGCAGTGAGACAATAATAATAGGAAACAAGCTCCAATCATTGTGTCAATAACAAACTGCTGAGCTGGATACAGTATGTGAAGGATTTTAATTACTAGATCAAGTTGGGGAATTGATGGTTGATAAAAAACACCAGATTTCTCTTATTATTATATGACCGAGAAAATTTCTTAATTGTGATTGGCTGAGAGCAGGGCGATTAATTGTTAATTTTTCATTTGCACTGTAGCGCAAATTAATGTGCGCACACCCTCTTGCTCAGTTGGTAAGAGGTTACACTACACAGGAAAGTTCTTCAATCACTGGTCAATGGGTAGCAAGCTCACATGGTAGGATATTCTTGTATCTGTTTTTGGCTTTGTTTTCAGGTCTCTCTCCTTCCTTCCTACTGTAAAGATGTTTACTTTCTTGCTTCTGAAGAACCTGTGTAAAAAGGAAAGAATGAAATTAAATGAAAAGAAAAGAAAAGGAAAGAAAGATGATCACAAACAACAAACAAAGTACAAAAAACTGTGACTGGCATTAACTACATGTAAGATCCAAAAGCAAAGTTCCTTTTAGAATCTGTAGTCTGCCATGCTCACCTCAAATTCTTCATAAAACCCAGCCTTTCCAGAAACACTTTTGTTTTCTTTTTGAAGAACTTTGACTCGGTCCTCGATAGCTGCAGCATTGATTCTTGTGGCATTAAATGGCTGAAAAAACACAACGACATTGAATATTACAAAATATATTAAGTTACAGGTAACTGCAATATATAATGGCGTTGGAAAATTACTAACTTTTAACACATTCAATTCTTAACTTTACAAGGCATGTCTGACACTTGAGAAGAAAACTTGACAAAATGCACAATGATGTAGAACTATAATTAAGAACTCCATACTGTATCTGTGGTTGGTTTTAACACACCGTGTGAGCAACAACAATGCATGGACTTCTGTGGTGCTAAATTATAGTATAAAGACTCACACATTTCTTCTCTAGGGAGAACAATAACAACATGTCAAGAGACAAGATTTTTTTAGGTGCTCATTTACTTACTGTTTTAAGTTGCACAACAGTGCCAGATTTCTCCACCATTGGATTTTTCTTGTAATGCTCCACAAGATCTGTCAAGTCTTCAAATTTCTCTCCTCCACCCACGTCATACTTGCCGTCATTAGTGTGGTGACGTATCATAACATGCGTGATCTTGTCTTCCAACCTACATGAACACCATGTCTAATATCAACCAATTTTTAATGTTACAACAAGCATACATGTACATACATCTTCAGAGTGCATTGCTGAACAAAATGTTCATGTGGCTGCAGCCAAACATGCTTTTACAAGTTTGGCTGTCTGGTTTGTCTACACCAGCTGGCACTGATCAAACCTAGTTTCACTGCTCAACTTCTGACCCCTCTGTTCCTTCCAATTCCCACCAAATCTGTCAGCTGAGGTTTTCCCAGTTAAAACAAATTAAACAGATACCTTGATCATCATATTCACTTTTATAGGATTAATTATTCTGTGTGTGTGCAGTATACAATGTATATTTCCCTCCTTTCTCTAAACAATAAAATTCTTCCAAATGTTACAGGCTGCAACAGAATGTATCTAGTAATAACAGGTTGTTACACACAAGAGCTCTTTTTCTTAATCAGAAGTTGCACTGCTTCACTTCCTTTTCTTCAGACTTACCATATCCTTCCCTCTTGACCCCAACCAAACAGCAAACCAAAAAATGTCTTGCAGTGTAAATGAGCTGTAACAAAGATATTCAGCTTACAAGCCCCATGCATAACTCACCTGACTGTGAGAACAAAGTCTCCTGGTTTGCTTTGACTTTCCCTTACCAGGAAACTTCCATTCTTTCCTTTGTCTAACATCATCGTTTCTGCTTCTTTACCAGACATGTGACCATGGAACCATCTGAGGGCAAAATAAATGCGATGCTTTATTCCACAACATGTACATCCTAGCAAAGATCTTTGCAGTGATCCTTCAGGATCATGAAGGATTTGATGAGTTTTACCTCACAGTAACCAAAGTTTTAAGTCTTGTAGCATCTTGTACAAGATCCTACAAAGGATCTGATAGAGTTCTTGAGGATCTCTGCAAGATTTTTGTAAAACACTTCAAAAGAGTGCAGGATGCTACAAGAAGCTTGTTGGAGAATATCTAAATTAAGAGATTGAGATCCCTGGGATCCTTTAAAATCCTATGTATGAGGTGTAATGCACAAGTATCAGGGTAGCAGGGATGGTGTAGTCAGTGTGGTGAGAGTAGTGGTGAGAGCACTCGTCTCCAACCAATGTGGTCCAGGTATATTTTTGGATATGTGTGTCGAGTTTGATGTTGGTTCTTGTCTTACGCCAAGGGATTTACTCTGGGTTCTCCAGTTTTCCTCCCTCCTGAAAAACCAACATTTCCAATTTCCACTCCAACCTAGTCTAAGAACACCTGCATGAAAACCAGCACTAGGGCTGATGGGGCTTCCTCTCTGGTAAAAACTGTAATCTATCTAATCTCTATGTGCATCTGAAGCGACAAATAAAATGTCTGATCTAACCTTTCTGTTGTGGGATCTGTGGAGTTTAAAGGAAATTTCATTTCAATAGCTTGACCATTCTTTTCTCTCAGTTGTCCAGGGTTTTCTGTGTAATACTGGATCAATTCAGTCAAAGTAGCAAACTTCTCTCCTCCATACAAATCATAAAAATCTCCAGTGTTTTGGATTTTAATGTGTGTCACCTCGCCATCTCGTCTACAAACAAAACAAACATTATTCATATCCTTGCAGAGCCCTGTATAACCTCCAGCATAGTTTCTTGAAAAAAACAAAAAAACATGCACTTTCAACCTTAATACAAGGTAGAAAGCACTGACCATTCAACCATATTGAATATTTTCACCTGTTAAGTTTCATTTGAGCAAAGATTGAAACAAAAACAAAAAAATTATGTCTCATTCTTGTATTAACAACACCCCTGTAAAGCCACTTTTCACTCTCTTCTTTTACGTTAGCGCTTTCAAACTTGATATCATCTATTGGGATTGTATAAAACATCAGTACTTGCAATTATTGATAAATATTTCTAGTTTATTGTGCCAAAACGTAATTACCATGCACATGTTACTCAGCTTCACCAAATGGAGAACAAATAACAAACAATATCCCACAATATTTGGTTAGGACCAGGTCCACCACAAAAACTTTCAAAATAATTATTTTGTTTGTACCAAAAAACCTTGGATATTAATTCTGTTACTAAGTAGTGTATGCATAATTAGACAAGCGCTATGCACAATATACCCATAAATAATTTTGTACTAAACTTTCCACTTACTTGGCAAAAGACAAAGTTAAACCACAACATATATGTACAGTTTGTCAGTTATTAATTAACTGGCCATTGTCGAAAGGTTATTTTGGCAGTTGGGATGTGCTTTAATGGGTGATTCCGAAAATATCCATACCCTACCATGGGTGGCATGAACATTTTAACCCCCCTTGCCTTCGGAAATTCCAAAATGCTCTACCCCCTCCATGCCCTCCGAATTCCAAAATTGTTAATCCCTCCTCCCCTTCGGAATTTCCGATTTTTTTTTTTCAGACCCTTTGGAATTCCTGTTTGACTGCCTAAAGCTTCCACTGAATGGGAAACTTGCACTTTTTTCCCCCTCCAAGAAAATTCTGCTCACAATTTTCGGTCAAGCAAACAAGCAACTCAAGTTTGTTAACGTTTAATAAAGTACACCATAGCTTTCCCTTGTAAGTGTTATCTTGAAGTTGCTTACCACCACATAAAACTTTTTGTTTTCAGTTCATTAGCTTCATATTTTCAGGAGAGTAGATCATATTGATACCAGTGGAAGACAAAAGTGAAGTTCACGATGTGCTGGCTCCCGGCATATTGAAAATTGCGTTCACTGAGGAACTGCTGACCACTAGTAGTGCAGCCTACAAATCTGTCAGGCGTTGCATTTGGAAACGAGAGACTGGTGCGAGTTTTTCTCACCGATCAACAATTTTAGATCGGAAAGAAACACAGACTTGTTTTATATTTTATTAATCTATCGACCAATTCATCAACTTTAAGGCCTCTTCGATATGGAGCTCGCCCCACAATCCATCTGCTTACTTTTCCGCGTGATCGCTAGCACCTGTCTGATCGATCTTTATCCTGCTTCAGCGGTTGGTTAGTGTTTGATGATTTACAAACTGGAAAAGCGATCAGCGATTTCAAGCTAAGCTTTTGCCGTCTTCCCCCTCCTCTANCCCCCCCATGCCTTCAGAATTCCAGTCCAAGAGACCCCCCTACTCCCTTGGAATTCCAAGATGCTGCCTGTGGCATGGTGTGGATATTTTCTGGAATCACCCAATGGCTGTTGCTGTTGTGTATTAAGTGTCAAGAGTAAATAAAGCATTATTGTTGTTGTTGGCCATTGTGGAGAGGCTAAAATAGGAGTAGACGGACTGCCGGGACAAAAAAATTGGCCATTGCAGAGGGGTGGTTATTGTAGAGAGGTGACCTTTATTGATGTTCAACTGTCATTCCATGGGTTTTTCAAATGGCAGTCATACATGGAGCTGGTCACTTATGACAGTGGTGCTAAGGAGAGATTTGAATGTAGTATAGACAATCATATTAAACCATGCATCTTGGCTACTTACATTGTCGCAGCAATAAACAAAACAAGAAGTCAAGAAAGGAGACAAAAGAAGGAAAACAATTCAATCTGACAGTGCTGAAGCTAGTAAGAGGCAAACCAAGCCACTTCCCTCTGCAAAAATTTTGAAGTTATTTATTCCAGGATGTTGCCATAGGCTATGAGTTACAAAGATATAAATAACTATGAAAGAAATGTTTTATTGTTCTGATACTGCCCTGGTAAGAATTTCATCTGGCTACGGCCCTGACTGAGCAGCCAGAAAAACAGCTGTCTCATTCAAAGCATGAATAAATTTGGCCCAGTAGGGAAGAAAATTGGTATATACATGTCTGTTCAAGCTACCTTACTTTTTGCATGCTAATTATCAGGAAGAATTGTTTTCCTTTACTTCAATATATTTTGCTTTGTTACTTTTTGATTTGTACACTGAGCTAACGTTAATGTGACTCTGATATTCTTGTAATATTATAATTTTGCAGAATTTGTCTCTCTCATTAATTACAATGTAGATTTATTACGTCAGGTGGTTTGAGCTTTTTCCTTCGGTTTTTGTAAGCCAAACATTTTTTTCTGTAGCTCTCTCACTGCTTGTGCACTTAATTTGCCATTTTGAAGTTAGAAATAATATTACAGGATTAGGTTACCCACAGATACCAGAAAGTCAGATTATATTCACAATTTGGCAAATTATAGGGCATTGATCTATTATCAGGAGATGTGGTTTGTAGTTAATTGGTAGCTTTAAATTTAAAATGCAAATATAAGGAGAGGATCGGAATAATCTAATTGATTCTTTTCCCGAACCCTAATTGACTGAAAAAATTATAACATTCTCATGTGAATTTAGCTTAGAAGTTACCTCATATTCTGGAAAAAGTTGTAATTTGGAGTAACTATTTTTCAATAAAATTTTATTTTTCATCTCATCTATTTCTCAGTTTTTTATTTGAAAACGGTGTACATTTTCTATAAACTGTGCTTTTCTATAATATACTTGCGCGATGCCAAAGAGAAATTACGAATGTCAATAGATTTTGTCTCACATGACCGCGGATACGCTACAACAACAATCCTGTATGCTATGACGCGAGATCTTTCACTTTAAAACCCCTTTAGCCTCAAACTGATAACCAAGATAAGGACGCAGCAATATATTTTAACTCACGAACAGATGTCCATTTCGCGGCGAAGGGAAATTTCCTAAGATTGACATGTGCAGAAGTGCGTCGGTGTTAAACTTCCCACAGTGTTTTCGCTTTTCTTGAAAGCAGGAAGAAAGCGCAAAATGTAGACTTGGCACAGGGTATAAAGCCGGCCAGACTAAGCTTCTCAGAGATTTCTTTTGCTGTTCTAAATTAAAGCGGTAGGAAGAAATACACGTCTATTTGATCGATCGTTATCTAGTCGTGACAACTTGAATGCATTTTGTGCAAACAAAATACAAAACACTGCATACAGTTAAAGCTTACATTCGCTGACAATTTTGCGGTTTTGGAAACTAGCTGTATGAATAGATCGCTTTTATAATCGGTTACAGTCTCCGAAGGAATAAAGAAACAATAAAACTGTCGACTGACAGTATTTTTAAGTTTGTGGTTCTGCAGGTCAGCCTACAATATCACACTTGGCATGGATCTTCGAATTAACTGAACATTCTGGAACCAAAAAATGTTGACAGCCGCTATAACACTTTTGTGTATTGCAAGCAACTGTTTAGCGAGCATATTCTGACATCTTATCTTTAACCGACACTTCGCTTTCCTTTATTAGCAAATGAATAATTACCTCACTGATAGCGTAAAATCTCCTGGATTGCTTTTGCTTGGTCGGACAAGATAGCTTCCATCGAATCCTCGCTCTAACAACAACTTTTCGGCGTCATAACCCGAGATGTATGAATGAAACCACCTAAAATCAAGAAAACAGTCCGCATTTGGTTGAAAGAACGAGGGATAACTTCTACAGCGAACGGAGTGTTAGCTAATTACCTTCTCGATGGCATCTTTAGAGGATGAATAAAGCAGAGGTTAGGAGAAGGAATTGTAGATCCTTGTGATCTATCAGGAAGTGACCATTCACTCCTCCCACAGGAAGCTGGAACTTAGCCTCGACTGTATGTTAGATCCAGTGCAACTCGCTTATCAAATTTCCAAGATGGCGGACGAAACAGATGAGAGAAACATCGTGGATTTTCCTCCTGATAACCTCTTAGAAGTGCTTATTTCATCATTTCCAAAGGAATGGCGCGGTGTATTTGTAGCCCTCGATTCTGAGCACTTACCAGTCCAAGCGGCAATCTTTTGGCTCCGGAAGAAATCATCAAACGAAATGTTGTCCGAGATCCCACCTAACTGGGAAAATTTTATTGACCATCTTGTCAGTGATTTTCCTGTTGTGTTGAAAGATAAACTCTTCTTCAGACCAAAGATTCTACTTCTACCTTTAAATATACAAAGGAGCACGCTGGGGTTTATTTCTCAACGCAGTTATTCCATACCTTTGGAGACTTTAGACAAGTTAGTTCAGAGGTTGAGGAAATTTTCCGTGGAGCTGGAAGGTTGGCGAGTAACTCATGTAAAAATTCTTGAATCAAAGGTAAATGAGCTGAAAAGATCCAAAATCAAAGGCGTAGATGATGAGAGTGGAACTGATAACATAGGGAAGGATTTGTGTTACACTGATATCGTTACTAAGGAATCAAAATCCAGGTTTGATGAACTTGTTAAAAAGAATGACGTTGCCAAATCTTCGAGAACTATCCCTTGGTTTAGCCATGTATTAGATACTGCAAAGAGGAAAGAAGGCAGTATTATTTCAGATGACTCTTCCTACAGAGACTATAAAGCTGCTGAACAAGATGATTTCGACATGGTTGATTTGACAAGTGATGTTGATTTACAGTCCGAAACACTACTGCATAGAATTAATCCAGGATCTCCTCACAATTTTGATGATAGTGATATTGAAATTATTGAAGTCACTGAGAATTCAAGTAAGCAAATAAAAACTGCAGATAGTATAGATGTAAATTTTAGAGAATTGACAGTACCACTTCCACCGGAACATTTAATCATTGATGCTGAGGATGATCCAGAACACTTGATCAAAGAAGAAGCTTCTGCAACCAATTCAAAACTCAGTGATACTCTACAACTGAAAGTATCTGCTTTACAAAACTTGCTCACGGGCCAAGAGCTCAAGGAAGGAAATTTCTCCGATGAACTTAATATATTTTCCTCTTGTAGCAGCCTTGAAATGGAACATGTCTGTAACCAGTTAGAACTGAAAAGTATAGAAGAATCCACAGCAATTTCTTTGTGGACCCAGTTTGCTCTCTTACCAACAGAGCCAAGTTTTGGCAATGCAGCTATTTTTGCAACCCACTGTCTTCTACCCAAAGTGCAAGAGTTAAAGCAGACTGCATCAAGAGCCCTGTTCACTGCAGCGAGCTTGTTTGCCAAGAAACACTCCAGGTCATTTTGTCACGGTGTTGTCCAAGGACTGATCCAAGAATCAAATTTAAACACTCCTCAAGTAGATCTTGTCAATAAAGTAGTCAAGGACTGTTTTAGCAGAGATACAAGAATTCACCTACTGGAACTTATATTTGCAACCAAGTCAGACAGTCAAGGTTGCCCTTTTTCCTGGTCAGAGGACATTATTTCCATTGTACAAACGGTGGTTGATTTAAAACCAGACTTCAGCAGCGATTTGTTTGAAAGCTTTACAGGAGTGTTGGAACAACAATCACGCCACTTGTCAAAATCTCTGAAATTTGCAAAGATTTTACTAGCTGTTATTAAGACTTATGGAGAACACGTTTCCATGCATTTTAACACATTTGTTCGTATCCTAGAAGGAAATGATACTTTTCTAAAAAAAGCAGGCTTATCTTCCCTTACGAAGGTCTCAAAGAGTTGAACTATTTTCCTCTATCTGATAGCTAATCTTCTCTAACATAGAGTAGACTGTAAACAGCCCCTGTCAGTTGATGCGTGTCCAATAATTGCCCAACAGAGTACTGCAAAAATGTAGAGTAATTTGCCATCTACTGTTTCCAATAGTAACTGGGTGGTTGCCCGTTAAATTATTTTTATTAATGTTCAAGTTGAATTTTATCAACTGACCTGTCACTTTTCAGAGTGTTAGACTGGCTGGTAACATGGTTGGGAATAGTGTCATTTCAACTGATCAAATGAATTTACTACCTGCATAACTTAGGCACTTAGCTCTTTGTCAACTTGAGATTTGTAAAGGTAAATGTACTGCCATAGAAATGAAGACATTTGTGAAGCTGACATTTTGAGTGATAACCCTTCTGTTAGCTCTTCGTCGCATAGCTTTGACAAAAGGATAATACTCGAAATATCAGGTTCAAATATGTGCTACAGTGGTTAATTCACCTTTGTCAACTTCAAGTTGATAATGGACAAGTGTTTCACTTGCCATGACATGGCTCAACAGTTCTTTAGAAACCAATACCTTTGTGTTACTATATGCACAGATTATATGCTAAGAAGGAAATATGTCAAGAGAAAATTTAAATTGTTCACTTAAAAGTCTTTTGTAAAACCTGGAGCAATAAACTAGGACTTTGCTTTACTCATTGTAACAAGACAGATTTAGAACCGAAACAATAATTTGAAGAAAAAAAATACAAATATAATGATCAAATACTCAACAAATAACAACTAAATATCTTAAATAGCAACTTTGCAATAAACGCTTTCATTTAGAGATACGGACTCTGTTTGTTTTCTGTTTGTTAGATTCGTGATGCTCGTTCCTTGTTTTCTGTTTATTTGTTACGTTGGTAATGAGCATTCTGTTTGTTTTGTTTTTAATTGTTACGCTAGTGATGTGCGTTCTGTTTGTTTTGTGTTTGTTTGTTACGTTAGCAATGCACGTACTGTTTGTTTTGTGTTTGATTGTTACGTTAGTAATGTGCGTTCTGTTTGTTTTATGTTTGTTACGTTAGTAATGCACGTTCTGTTCTGTATTTGACTGTTACGTTAGTGATCTGCGTTCTGTTTGTTTTTTGTTTGCTTGTTACGTTAGTAATACGCGCTCTGTTTGTTTTGTGTTTGATTGTTACGTTTGTTTGTTTTATGTTTGTTACGTTAGTGATGCACGTTCTGTTTGTTTTGTGTTTGATTGTTTCGTTAGTAGTGCGCGATGTCTTTGTTTTGTGTTTGTTTGTTTGTTACGTTAGTGATGCGCGTTCTGTCTGTTTTGTGTTTGTTTGTTACGTTAGTAATGAGCGCTCTGTTTTGTGTTTGATTGTTTCGTTAGTAATGCGCGCTTTTTTTGTTTTGTGTTTGTTACGTTAAAAATGCGCGTTCTATTTGTTTTGTGTTTGATCGTTTCGTTAGTGATGCGCACTCTCTTTATTTTGTGTTTGATTGTTACGTTAATGATGTGCGCTCTCTTTGTTTTGTGTTTGATTGTTACGTTAGTGATGCGCGCTGTCTTTGTTTCGTGTTTGATTGCTACGCTAGTGATGCGCTCTCTTTGTTTTGTGTTTGATTGTTACGTTAGTAATGAGCGCTCTTTTTGCTTTGTATTTGTTACGTTAGTGATGCGCGTTCTGTTTGTTTTGTGTTTGCTTGTTACGTTAGTGATGCGCACTTTCTTTGTTTTAGGTTTGATTGTTACGTAAGTGATCCGTGCTCTCTCTGTTTTGTGTTCGATTGTTACGTTTGTGATGCGCGCTTTCTTTGTTTTGTGTTTGATTGTTACGTTAGTGATGAGCGCTCTCTTTGCTTTGTGTTTGTTTGTCACGTTAGTGATGCGCGCTCTCTTTCTTTTGTGTTGGATTGTTATGTTCGTAATGCGCGCTCAGTTTGTTTTGTGTGATTGTTACGTTAGTAATGCGCGCTCTGTTTGTTTTGTGTTTGATTGTTACGTTAGTAATGCGGGCTCTGTTTGTTTTGTGTTTGATTATTACGTTAATAATGCGCGCTCTGTTTGTTTTGTGTTTGATTGTTACGTTAGTGATGCGCGCTTTCTTTTTTTTTGTGTTTGATTGTTACGTTAGTAATGAGCGAGGTGTGGAACTTAACTTTAGAAGATGAAAATTGTTGCGTTTGGTCAGGTGGAGAGCAAAAAGGTTAAAACGTTCACTCACCATAACTATTTTGCTTCTATCTCGTCCTGCTTTATCTTCTATCGAAGGAAGAACTTGAACCAATCCGACTTCACCAGGAGCACAGAAATCCACGTCTTCACACTATGACTAAGTGTTTGGTTTGACAAGTAGTCATGAATATTGATTATAAACTAGAACCAATCTCTGACAGAAACGTCGCCGCATATTTTCATGACTTCGATTTTAATTCTCATGCAAAATATTCTATCACTTCAAAAACATCACTTTCACTCCAGATCTTTGCATTTTGAGGCTTTATTAAGACATTAATACGCGAAATGAAATATACTTGCAAAGACTGTCAAATAAACCGTTAAATACACCTTTTCTGACAATCTTATTAGTCGATTTTTTCAAGTTTTGAAATATCCCCGTGTAAAGACCTGATGGCCTATGTCGAACCAAAGGTTATAATTCAGAACGAGCTACGAAACAAACAAACAAACAAAAAAGAACTACTCTAGTTAAACCGTTTTTAAAGTTTGATATTTGTGTGACTTATAACTCTTACATTATTCTACAAGTTTCCTTTTCATTTCACGTACTTTTTCTTCCGTTTTCCGTTTTATGTTTTTCCTGTCCCTCCCTTGTACCCTCTGACACGCAACCCGTGCGTTCTTTCATTGTTTCCCAGTACGCGGATTCCCCCTAACGTTGGCTTTGCCCTTTGAATCTCACATGCAAGTAAATTGCTGTGCATGCCGCCAAATGTACTCGTGTTCTGTTGTGCGTAGCACAGGGCTTTCTCCTAGGGGTTTTTGCCACCCAACGTTAGTGGTGGGCTCCCTTTACTTGTCCATTACACCGCGCGTTCCATCGCGTATTTCCTCGTAAATTTTCGGTACGTTCCCTCCCGTGTCCGGCGCTTTCCCTGTTGCGTTTCACCGTGCGTAAAATCGTGTGTTCCAGCGTTATCAATTAACCAGAATAAATCGAGGGAAAGTCTAATCCAGTAGCCGCTCGTGAAACTATTACTTAGAGCAATATTACTTCCCCTCTTTTGTTTTGTCGCTAGTAATAGTCCAACCATTCCCGTCCCTTGAGTCGTCTGTCCTATCTCTCCATCGCAAAGGTTCGAGACGTTCCTTATAGAAATCCTTGGGCTTGAATTCATATCGCTCAGCGGATTCTCCCCACCCGGGAAACCTCTGAGCCTCTGCGGAGGAGACAGGCCTGTCCTTCTTAGCCGGTCGGGCGTCTCCCGAGGAAACGGTGGCTTGGGAGAAACATGAAATCATTGCCTGGTTGTTTTTGGATTACGATTATTACTAATTCAACACTGATTTTCCTCCCGAAAGGACCCACTGGTTGATCTCTAGCTGAGACCGTTAGATTACAGCACTTACTGAGAATTAAGAATGAAATTCTGATCGGGAAGTGGCAAAAAATGTTTGAAGGACTTCAA